ATAGGGATGAGCCAATCAAATTTCCTATGGAGCCGCTAGTCGCGCGAGGACACAATCTGATTGGTTAGATGTACAACCTCCCTAGCTTAAATACCCGTACAAGGGAGACAATAAAGGACTTTCTTGACTTGCGAATTTGCTTCTTCTTCTCCTTGTGGAATTGAAACAAAGCGTATGCGGTGGCACAACATCTAGCCTTTGGGAAAATTCCAACAATTAAAACATTAAAATTGGTTTCAAGTTTATCCAAGGTGTTATCACAAAAGCATCTTCGGCCCTCGTGGTCATTTCGTTTTCAGATCTTTAGTTCACAAAATATTTTCTTTGTCAGCATTGAAAGTGTCGAACCTTCCAGCTTTCCTATGCCCTTGCATGTGACATTTTACGGTGTAAAGGAAAAGCAACCACAACTTCTCACGCCGAGTTTTTTTCCCAGTGGGGGTTGCACGGCTGCTTTGTACAATAGTAGTGTACAAGTCGGGGCACTAGTCCAAAGATCCCAGAACCGATTCGGATGTGTGGCCTGGGGTTGAGGCAGGACTGACAACTGACGCCGGGTAAGTGAGAAGCAGTCATTTTGACCCTTTACTCTCAGTCGGTAATACTTTCCGGGCACTACTCACGCTTGGCATTCCAGTCTGGCAATGCATTGAAGTCGTCCGATGTTTTTGCTCTTATAACACCTCTAACTATCTTACCCGCCTAGGTGAGACGCATCTTTTCGGACAAAACGGGTACACTGACGAAGAATATTATGCAATTCAAACGTTGCTCGATCGGCCGCCGAACTTTCGGGTAAGTATATTATTGCAGTGAAACCTCGGTTAACGAGTTTAATCCCTTCTGGCAACGAGCTCGTCAGGTGAAACGTTCGTCTTGCAATCATAGCCAATCAAACTGCCTCAGGTCATTGATTGGCTGCAGGCGACCGATGACGCACGTCCTGGGAGCAAGAGTCAATGGCGGACACAGGCACACACACACACACACCGTACCTAGAGTTCGCTAACCGAGCGGGAGCTTGTCAACCGAAACAATGTTTCTGCTAGTGGCTCGCTCGTTACCTGAAATGTTTGTATAAAGGGCTGCTCGTTACCCGAGACTCCAATGTATGCTCCCTATTTAATTTCGCTCCTTGCCAGTCTTATTCCTCATCATTGGCTCGTGCCTTGTTTCTACAGTGTCGGACACGCAGACGCCTCCATTTTTGATGACCAGAGTCTGGAGGAGCAGATAGTCAAGAGGGACGCCGATGTGGACTTCTTCTTCACCACGCTTGCTCTCTGCCACACAGTCGTACCAGAGCGAACAGGTGAATGGGAGAATCGTCCGGTCCTGGTCTACAGAGCCTCCTCGCCAGGTCAGCTTTTGAGTTGCTAATATGAGTTGTCTTGAAGTACGGAAATGTGATGGTGTTTTGGTGTTACCGTAAAGTGCGGATATAAAGGGAGGGGGAGGGAGTTGGTAGGGTATGAACGATGGTGTGAAATTCCAGTTAAATATGGAAAGTCAGTAGGAATATAGATTCCAAAAGCTCTGAGCGGCGTGTCATGGACGGCAGTGATCACTGTTATAGTTGAGGCGAAGCGAGCACAGATAGGTGAGGCATCTTCAATGTTGCCAATCATGTTTAGGGTTGTTTAATCTGTCGAGGAACGTGAAGATATCCAAGCAGTCCAGTCCCGACCATACACGTGCGTGTTGACAGTGGAACCGGTAATTGGCGGTCACCGCCCTCGCTGACGTGCATCCCACCAATTTCGCGTGAGTGTCACTTTTCCTTGAATACTCCGAAGACCGTAAGTAGGAGTAGGTTTCGCCCGTCTGCCCCGATTTCAAGACGGGCTTGTCCATTTTTGGCTCTGGTCTCAAGTCATCACTGGTGGTTGTCTAGCGGTGATTAAGGGAAGAAGAAGACGACGACTCGATCGCTGGAACAATACTTTGTTCGCTTGAAGTTTCGACATCCGTCGCGGATTCATCATCAGAAACATTAGCAGAAAACGGTAGCAGAAACGTGATTAAAGTGTTAGCGACAAAGGGGACCGCTTCTGGCTTGTTTTTCGTTACCAGCTGGCCATACGCTCACCCCAGGTGGGGAAACTCGTAGTTTAAACCTATGCCATCTGCTGATTGAGCGTTTAAATGACTTATGGTGTACTGACAGTACAGCCACCCACCACGCCTATTGAACTAGTTACCTCCCTTTTTTAAGTAAGCCGATGCCTGCTATATAATTATGATAGAGAAAAAGACGACTCGATCGCTGGGACAATACATTTATTCGCCTGACCTTTCGAGACATCACCATCAGGAACATAAGTAGAAGAGAAGTAGCAGATACGGACCCGTATTCGTCTGACGTTTCGAGCTCGGTCGCGGATTCATCATCAGAAACATAAGCAGAAAACGGATCCGTGTCTGCTACTGTTTCCTCCTTATGTTTCTGTTAATGGATTTGCAACGGAGCTCGAAAGGTCAGGCGAAGAAAAGTATTGTCCCAGCGATCGAT